ATTTTTGATTTTTTCATATCCTTGATTTGAAACTTAGATTTGATTTTTATTTGTTAAATTTCTTAGGTTTGACATCTAGATTTTTTTTCATCATCTCCGATGGAGCCAAAATTTCACCATTTTTTGGCTTTGGAGTGTAATGGAATAAATCAAAATGGATCTCTAAACTATCTGCGCTTCTTTAATTAATGAAGTAGCAGTTAGTCAAGCAATGCAACTTTCGACATTGAGCCGGGGGTCTCTTTGGAAACAGCCTCTCTACTTTCGAGTAGGGGCAAGGTCTGCGTACACACACCCTCCCTAGACCCTACTCTTGTGGGATTTAACTGGGTTGTTGTTGTTGACATCTAGATTTTGATTGTTTTTATGGCATGACCATAGATTTAATTTTTCTTCATTTAGATACTTTGTATTAATGAAGTTAAAGAAGAAGAAAAATAAGAGGGGTGAGGGGGGGGGGCGGGGGTCTGTAGGACTCTAACAATGAAGAAATATTAAGGGGATGTGAAGAAGAAGAAAGTAGAAGAACAGAAGAAAAAGAAAGCAGAACAAAAGAAGGAGAAGAAGAGGGCGTGGGGGTAGGGGTGGAGTGGATGCATTAGTTGGACTGCTGGAATTGAGAATGGAATGGGTGAATAACCAAAAAAGTGAAGGGAAGAAGAGGAAAGTCTCCTCATTTTTCATTTTACATTAAAACCCGTGCCAAGTCAAAACGAGAAGTTTCAACTTGGACAAAGGGAGTATAAAACAATACCTTCATCCCATTTAAATAATTATTTTCCATTGTTTTTTAGGAAGAAAAATATTACTGCCTCTGTCCTTAAAAGATTGCCAGAGTTTAACTTTTTTGTTCAAACTATGTTACTCTTTACCGCAAATTGTGGAAAAACTCGAAAAAATATATTTAGTTATAATGTAAATTTAGTAGAATTTGGTTTATTTTAGAATATAATTTTGAAATATCGAATTTTTATAATATTTAGTATTTTTAAACTATATTTAATTCGTGGACAAAGTATTTCTTAAGAGGAAATAAGGGTGATGATTGACCATGGGAAAATGAATTCTCTCGTAAGTAAATACTACCTCCGTCCCAGAGTATTTGTCCATTTTTATTTTTACACACCATCCAATACACTTCTTTAATCAATTTTATCTTGTAATTTGTATATTAAAAAATTATAGAAATTATATATTAATAATCTATATGTTAAGACAAATCAAACAAGATCACACATGACTATATTTAGGCTTACACATTGAGAGAATTTGATGAGCCAAAGTGCTTAGATGAACAGTTCCAAAAGTCAAAACTGGACGAATACTCCAGGACGGAGGGAGTATTTATTATTTTCCAATCTTTGAAAGAAAATGTTTTTTTCTAAAAAAAGTTTTATTTCCTAACACCTATGTTACCAAATGTAGGAAATTAGAAATCTAATATTTAGGGAAAGTATTTTCCCCAAAGAAACGAACCTTAAATCTACAAGTGTGCGAAGTAAAATGGAGGGAGAATGATGCGCTAACCCGCGTACATTCGACACAAACAAAAGAGGAATGGAAGATGACTGAGTGATGTGGATTAGACACATATGAAAAGCAATGGGTAAGAATGAGACTTGTGAGGCAAATCGCTAGGATTAGTATTAAGGGTCAAAGTCGTTCACTTGAACCGATGGTAGAGGCGAGAAAGGTGTTTGATTCAGGCGCGCCTTACGAACCTCACCTCGCTTGACCACCATGAGGTGCCTTAGGCGTAGGCGCTCCCCTTTTAAAACTATGGTATTTAGGAAATAATGTTTTCTTTGATTCTTTGACATGCCATTGTTTTTTAATGGTTTTTTGTGTGTTTTGTAGAAGAGCATGTCAGCTAGAAATGAAGCAAGTCAAAAGGGAAGATGAAACTTCTTAATTTGATCACATTTTAATGAAAGATTTTATACTCTTATTTTTTTCTTCATGTTATTAACTTTACAAAAACTCTAGAAAGACAGCCTACATGTGTAGTTTAGATGGTTGAAAGGAGAAGTGTTAAGTTCAAAATCTCAGGATCGATTCTCGGGAGCAACAATTTGACTATTTTATCCAAAAGAAAACCCTGCCGATTGGAGTAAATTTTACAAGACACAAATAGTTCTTTGAGTTCTTTTTTTTTTAGTTCAGAATTGCCCCTGCTTGCTTATCCTAAAATCCTAGCGGAATAGTTGGAAACTATGCTCACCGTGCCCTCTCCGCCTTGGTCGCGGGGTGTTACGTTTTTTTGAAGCTTTGCCTTCAAAGCTAATCCCTGTGTCTCGGATTCAAATTACCTGATCCGGCACAGTAGCAGCACCCATCAGCCAGCCAACCCTCATCCACAGCCAACAGCTACCTCTGTCGCAGCGACCGACGGCGCAAACCATATTTGATGACAGGTACCAACTATTGATAATGTGGTTGCTTCATTTGGTGACACCGACCGGGATGCAGACTAGTTTCGGCGATGAAGAGGAGGGACACCTAGGAAGCTGCACACCGTATCTGGTTTTAAGGGGCTGAAATATCAATTTTACCCGCGGTCTATTTTTTTTTTTAAATCTTCAATTTCTGCACAAATTAATGTCAATTTACTTCCACTTTCACATACTCTTTAAATGCTCCCTAAATCTTCAGAAGTATTTTTGGACCAAGACCTTCCACTCTACCATGAGTTAAAAAGGTACTGTGTGAACAGTGTATTTGTTCAAAACATTTAGCAGTTAAATATTGTTATGTTTACGATATGATTGTTAAACTACAGATCGGAAGTGTTGCCCTAGGATCCCATACAAGGTGCCACGGTCTCTTTTGAATTCGCTTGCCACGACATTTGTCTCACCTTCATGAAACTCATACAGAGTACGTTATTTCATACTCCGTATGTTTTCTAAACTCATCACATTGAATATATTCTCCAGCATAATTCATTTACAAATTTTCTTAGAATGTAATCAAGTTATTAGAAACACTTTCAAATGAAAAAGAACGAGTCCTTGTGACATTTGTCTTGTACTCAAAAGTTACTCCCAACGAAACAAGTGAGATATGTGAAACAAAGTTGTGACGAGGTAGGTTATTTAGGTATGTAGGCACCCATGAGGCAAGCTATAGGTTGTCTTGTCTTGTGGTTGTGGATCGAATCTCATCTCCACTGATTTATTGTTTTTTCTAATTTTCCTTCATGGACAAACAACTATCTCCTTAAAAAGCTCAAATTCAATAAAGAATATTCCGGACTAGGTCCACACCTCTACTGTAACTAGACACTTCATTGCTCACTATTACAGAGAAAGAAAAAAAATTACTTGGTATGTACTGTGCAAATGTTAATCCCTCCGTTCTAATTTATAGTGTCTGTTTCACTCTACGATGTTTAATTGAAATGATTTTCAAATTATTTTATATGACAAATGATATAGAGTTAAAAAATAAAAATTACATATTAAAATACTACATCAAAAGATTTACAAAACTAGTAGAGAAAGAAAATAAATTAAGTTTGATCCTGTGAATAGTAAACAAGCACTATAAATTGGAAAGGTAAATTGGGGAGGAGGAAGTAATTAATTAGTTGCTCAATGATCACAAATGAGTAGCTCTATGACTTGTGTAAGAGAGAAGATACATTTTAAATGTATCCATTTTAGATAGATACATGCATCTCTTATTAGATCTAATACTTTCATACACAATAGTACTCATATAGGTACTACTAAACGTACACAGATTTGGCCGGCCATTAAATTAAAACTGCAAACATAGGTCGTTCTGTATTTATTTATTCTACTCTCTCTGTTCTTAAAAGATTGTCACAATTTGATTTTTTTAGTAAAACTGTGGTATTCTTTGGCCATAAATTAAATATATTTAAAATAATTAAATATTATAAAAATGTAATATTTTAACATATTATTTTAAAATAAACCCAATTTTATTAAATGTACATTATAACTAAATATATTTCTTCTATAATTTGCAGTTAAAAGATCCCACAATATGACCAAAAAAGTCAAACTGTGATAATCTTTTAGGACAGAGGGAGTATTTAGTATGCCTTCAAGAGGTTGTCGTTTATATCCGACGCTCCGGGGTCCAATGCGGAGGAGATGGGCTGAAATGGGTTGACGCCACCCTGGACTCGAGAAGCTCAACCATGGGCATGCTATTTACGCACCTCGGCGCTTTGTATTGGTTAATGGAAGCTCCCCTTGCAATGGCCAAGTCCATCACCTCTTCAAATGTCCCGGCCTTAACAACCCTTATTTCGAGTGCCCCGATCGACTTATCTGCAACCCTACACTGTCTATATACTGTGTTCATCGATTCCTCCATGGCCAAGCAACACTCCCTCAAAACATCGCCGCCGATATCTCCTAGGATGTGATTGTTGCAGGAATTAGGATCTATGCTCAAGAGTTCCCAAAAAATCACGTAGTGACCCGAGATGGTCTTTGTCTCTGCGAAGCTCGTGTACTCCACGAGCCTCGCCCCGTGACCGTGCAAGAGAGCCGCGGCTCTGTTCACGGCATTCTGCAGCTCCGTTTCGTCGGTCTTGTCGGAGTCGATGCTCAAGAGCATGTTCTTTCGATGCATGAATTTGAATGTCGGCGCGGAGTTGTGGAAGCCGGTGACTTGGAGGATGTCTCCCACCCGGTAGCGACACATCCCGGCGTAAGTGGTGACCACGAGCTCGTATTCCTTCCCCATTTCCACGTCTGCCAGGTCCACTAGGTCACCACCCCGTCCTGTGAGGACGGGGTTAGGAAGGAACTCGAAATACCCCATATTGGGCATGATGGTGTAGGAAACCTTGGAAGGCGGATACATGGGGTTGAGGTTGAGGCCGAAGTAGCATTCTGACGACGCGTACATGACGGATGCCTTTGGCAAGCCGTCGCTGTAATAATCAAGAGTGTGGATGTACTGAGCCATTGCGCCGGTGACGATCACCTCGAGATACTTGGCATTGGGCCAAATCCTCCTTATGATCCCTTCCCAATTATCGTCCTCGCACTCTTTGACGATTACCTGAAAAGAAATTTATCTGAATAACACTAAACCAAAGATGAAACTTATATTAACATATGGGCAAAGTTTTAGTTCTAGTTAGGTATTTTCCCTTTACCTGAGCGAGCTCATGGTTCGGGCTCAAGACCTTTCCAACTGACTGTCGGATGGAAGGGTCGGTGATCCGGGAGCATAGCGTCCCGGAGGCGATATCCGCGGCGAGTTCCCTCCAGTGCACCTGGAGGAAGCGGATGGCGCGGAGGAGGCCGGAGGCGAAGACGGCGCCCATGCGGAGGACCTCCTCGCGCATGAGCAAGCCGCAGAGCATCTGCGCATACATGCTTTGGAAGGCGTCGACACAGAGGATGGCCTCTATAGGGCTGGTGCAGACATTGTAGGGGTCGTAGGGCTTCTTCCTGAACTGCTCGCTGTTGTAGTAGCTCGTCAAGACCGGACGGGCAAGCAACCCTCCAGGTGTCTTTGTTCCTGCTTTGGTAAAAAGGAAGTATAGTCCTTTCCCTTTGTCAAGCCCAGGAACGTAACTGCATACCATTTTATAAAAAGGTTAAAGTATGAAGTATTTTGTACTTCTATTTCTAATAATTACTCTGTATATATAAGAAAATAAACCAAAAAAAGTAATAAAAAAATGAACAATATAATTTATATGGTGGGTACTTAATTATATTACAGATTCATGACGGGCATGAGAAGGTTGTATAACATCTGCCTGCGGTCCATTTCCTCAGCAATGGTTGGCATCAGCTTCCTTTCTCCCGCCGATGTCCCTGAACTATTTATATTTCGTAAAACTCCAATGTTAACTTGCAGTAGCAATTAACTCTATTACAATATAGTATGGACTATGGAGTATCTATTTATTATTACGAGAAAAATAGAACTAATATATATTAATAAAGTGTGTAAAGTAGGGTATGTATGTCATTTTACCTAGTGAGGAACTCGGAGATGGGGTGGGAGGAGAGAATGGGGGAGAAATCCCCATTGGCGATACGGTGAATGTAAGGTTGTAGTTCTTCATATCCCACCACCGGAACTTTGGACTTGAACGTTTTCCGGTCGATGGCCCCATCCAGGTTGAACTGCCGGAGGTACTCCGTCTCCCCATTCCGGCAAAGAATCTCCGCCAGAACCTTCTCTTGCACGGAGTCGGCATTCCTGGTCATTTCCTCGATGAAGCGGAGGGCTCCGGCGTCTCTCTCGCCGGCCGGAAGGCAAGGAGGCGGCGAGGCCACGTGTTCTGCCGCCATGTAAATGTATTTGTATATGGGAAATGGTATTTGTATATGGGAAATGGAAAGCAGAGAAGTGTATAAAGAAAGAATTACTTCTTGAGTGAAAATGAAGGATGATAAATGGTCGCCTTTATATAGATAGAGCTGCAACTGCATGGGGAATAGACTGCGTACGTCACGTGAAGTCAAGTTTCACGTCATAGTCGTGCGACGGCATATTCCAGCAACGCGGGAAATGTGGGCCCAATATAATAGAATTTTTTTTTCAAAAAAATTGGAACGCTCATCCAGCCCGAAAGAGTAACGAGGAAAATAAATCATGATATAATCTTAGTTTGATACTCCGGACTTATAGAAGTCGCCCGTCTCCAGTGTGTACAAGGAGTTATTACAGAGAAGTATGACTATCACACTGATGCTACCGAGATTCAATTCAATCCTAGGATGATTTTTTTGTCATGGCAAAAACTATCCGTGTTTTGAACAAGGTTTTTGGGTAAAAAAGGGTTTTGAATAGATTTTGTTTGGCCAAACCCGATGGGTTTTGAATAGGTTTTGTTTTGAAACGTAACCTTTTTTTTTGGGACGAAGGGAGTATGTACAAAAATTAATTTTACCTGCACGGAGCATGTGATCTACCTGTTGTTTCAAAAACAATAAATTTCATAATTAGTCTTTTTAAAATAGAGTTTTCATATTTAATCATCTATTATCAAATATTATGTTCTTGATCATTCTTTTATAGGAATCTTTTCACGAATAATCTTTTTTGACCTACTATCATGTTGGTGTTAATTTGAAGTCTCAAATTAAAGAGTCGTTACTCATTGCTCTGTAACACGGAAAGTAACAAAGGCAACTAATTAGTACTTATTGTGTCCCAAATTGGATTAACACCAACATGATAGTAGGTCAAAAAAGCACGTAAGGGTTGTTTTGGAAGTGTAAAACAGCTGTATAAGGGAATAAAAAGGCCGGCAAAACCACGTTAATTACCATGCATTTTTAACCGATTAATTAAGTTACTTCCGCCGTCCCCTAATGAATTACATTATTGGAAATTTGGAATATCGAATAATATATATAATATAATCCATATTTATCTTTTAAACAAGAGGTATTTTTACAGAGTATTAATAAATTGATATTGAAATAAAAGTACAATTAAAGTTTATAAAAATTAATTCAAAAGTTCAAAAAAACAAGATTCAACAAAAATATTTTAGTTATCAAATTATCAATGAAATATATGTAAAGATACAAATTATGTAACCATCATAATAATAAAAACATACCACATTCGTTCTTGAGTATTTGTCTACCTTTGATTTTTTTTTGATGTAAAAAATAATAAAATTTGAGCATTAATTAAATAGAATTTATATTTGATATTTATACAAGAATAATATTATTATATTTATCATGTAAAATATTTTTCAAGAGTGTCCGGTTGGTCGGGCTAGCTGGGAGACAGAAGGGCTGTTTTGTCGTGCAAGACTTGGACTTGTTGAAAAAAGATAATTAGGGTTCGTTCATAGAGCAACAAGACGGGAATGAATGTAATTGGAAGACCGCCCGCGTAAGTCGTCCACTTGCTATGTTGATTAATAAGTGAGTTTTGGAGTGGCCTTTGTTTTGAAGGGAGGGACACACAAAAGGAGTAAAAGTGTGGCAAAGGCCGCCGGCCGGACCATATCCCCAAATCTAAGGGAATATGTTTCAACCTACCTATTTTATTTGTTTCCATTTTCAAATACTACTATGATAGTAATTACGGCCTATATTATTCCTCCCTCACTTCACTCTTAAGTGTCCAATTTGTTATCAATCCATCCTTTGTCTTCAAATGAAATTCACCATTATTAGTTTATTATTCACAAACCAAATTCTATTGAAGACGGGGGAGCATGAATTCAAGCAACATGTTGAATGTATTTCGTGTAATTTTTCTTGAAACCATAATGCCTAATATCATGGTATCAAAGTCTTCCTCACCTAAAATTCACGAATTCGAACATATCCATTACTCAATTTACTTAAAAAAATTAATATTCTATTCACATGAGGAAGTACCCCCTCCGTCTTAAAAACCTTTCTCATTTTTACTTTTTTCCATTCCAAAACCACCTTCATTTTTACTTAGAGTATACGGAGTACTATGTAAAATATATACCCCTCTCCAACAATAAACTTCCCAGCTATTATTACAACATCTCAATAACTTATCTTTGTTTTCATATTTTTGTCAATCATTTAATAACATAAAATATTCTTGTCATATTTTAAATTGTAGAACTTTTAATTTAGTTTTGAATAGTATAATTTATATTTTTAATGATATATTCTCACCGTTTCTTAAAACACTTTCTCTTTCAATTTTTTCCCTTTCTCTAAAACACTTCCACTTTTTATTAAAAAACCACTTTTACCTTTATTTTTTCTTATCTTACCTATCACATCATATTTTTTTACTAATAATATACTCATTAGATCTTACTTTTATTCACCACATCAAAGACAAAATTGAAGAGTAAACCATAAATATACATTCCTTATTTTGGCTAAAAATCAAAATATGAATAATTTATTGAAACGGGGAGTACGAATTTGAGGTAACAAGGATCAAATGGACAAGCCCAATAGAGGCAGCGCTAATGGGCCTTCTTTGGGCGTCACCCGTTAACTCAAGATCCACTCAAACTCCACTTGGATTTGAAAAATATAGTTAAAAACGAATTAAAAGCATGGAAAATGACAACAATAACTGTGCAGAACTTATGAGTTATGAGTAGAACACCAATCGCAGCTCAGAATAGACAAACTCGTCAAATTATTAGAGAGGAAAAATCAGAGGCCCATTTACTGGCAAAAAATATGTAAAGAAAACGGCAATCCATATTCCGCAGGTTATTTCTGAAGCCCAACTATATTGGCAGCTCGAGCCCACCTTCATGTTTGGTCATGACATTTACCTCCCCCATTAGTATGGGCCATTTGACCTCGGGTTTAAAGTCCAAAATTTGAGAGCAAAAAAAAAAACCAAATTTATTTGCGTGGGAATGGGTTAATTAATTGCTCCATCATACTCCCTCCACTTCAAATTGGAATATACTCCGTAATTTTTAGGAGTATTTTGATAACTTTTACTTTTTGTGTATTTTGATTGATTATTTGATAAAAAAATCTTATCATCTCTTGTTTTGTAGTTATTTTGAAATAGTTTTTTAATGTGTAAACTTTACTAATTATTCTTATACCAATTATTAAATAATTTTATTTTTTTTTTAAATGTAAGGTTTTACCTCGTAAATAAAAAATTGTAATCTAGTTTGAGAGAAAAAGAGTATTTATAAATTAGAAAAAAATTAGACAATTATGTTAAACATAGATCCTCTACAAGTATCAGATATATGCTTCATTTTTTGTCATTAATTTTTAATCAGAGTTAAATTTACCTTCTCGAGAATAAGACTCATCTTTTTTAAAATTACTAGTATTTTAACACTTGCAGCGCATGGGGTTGAACAAAATTTTTGTCGATTCTAAAACATTTTCAATGCAATAATCTTTTCTTTTATTTATTTTTTAAAAAATGTAAGGTTTTACCTCGTAAATAAAAAATTGTAATCTAATTTGAAAAGAAAAGAGTATTTATAAATTAGAAAAAAGTTAGACAATTGTGCTAAACATAAATCCTCTACAAATATCAGATATATGCTTCATTTTCTGTCATTAATTTTTAATCAGAGTTCAACAGTTATTGTGCTAGGTAGCAACGGTTAAAGAGGATAGGGGAGTGGGCAGGAACTTTCGGACAGACTGGGCCTCTTAACCAATCAAACCAAATTTCCTGAATTGTTCAAGTGGACAGGGTAAGTAACTCTGCTTCGGCCCAAAAGTTGGTGAAAATTTGGTTTGATTGGTTCCGACTTCCGACAATTTGACCACAAATATTCTGAATTTCATTTTAATTATTCTCAAAATGTGTAAAATTCCATTTTTTTCCTGCAAAACAAATTATGATCTATCTATTTTATTTTATCAAATTATAATATAAGTACATAAGCAAACTGCAAAACTAAGGTTATCGACAACTTCAAATGGGACAGAAGACGATTAGTTTAAGACGGAGGACTATGAATTTTTTTTTACTCTGATCTTCACTACTTATGAAAATATTGTTTTCAATCGATTTATTAGTTAATCTTTAAAAAATGTTAGGGGAATCTCAAACATTTAATGTTTGTGTGTGCACAGACACTAAATGTTTAGGTGTGTCTGTATTGACCCTGGTGTGCAATTAGTTCAAAACTTTGGAGTCCCCCTTGACTCCTCATCTTTTAAATGTTTGACTCTAGTGTGCGGGGAAAAAATTACTATCATTATCCCTCAACATTTTTTTGTTTTAAATTTTGACAATCAAATTTTATCAACTTTGATCATCAATAAAATATAATTGTACTAGATATTGCTACAAAAACATTTTTTTTATTTTACTTCATAATATAATTTTTAAAATAATATTTTATCTAATTAATATAACATATACTGAGTAACTTTTACTTATATATAGGTCAAATGTAGAATCTAGTACAATGTAAAAATTCAAAATCAAACAAATATTAAGGAACGAAGATAATGCATTATACAGAGCAACACAAATTTAATACCGATCAATAGATTCATTTTGAAGTGTATTTAATTTAAATTTATCACATTTTCTAATCATATACTCATACTAACTTCTTTCCAAATAATTTGTCCAGTTTTGACTTCTTATAGTTAAAATTAATAAACTTGAATCATAAATTTTAAAAAAAATTATATAAGATATTGTTATAAGAATAACGGATCCATAAAAAGTCGTGAAAAGTCAAACAAGAAAATAAGCTGTGAAAGTTTATGTGTAGTGTAGTAGTACACATTGTCTTAAGTTTTAAAAATAAATTGTCAGTTTGATTAGAGGATATATATATATACTCATTTCGTCCAACCATGAGTGATTCTATGGTAGACCTAAGGTCTACATGGACCTCCTCATATATTTTTTTAATTTTAAAAATGCTTATTTCAACAGTTGAAAATGCTTATTTAGTATATATGAAGGGCTATCATCGACTTTAGGTACATGTAATAATCTATATCCAATAATAAACTTTCTATTTTGAACAAAACGTACAAAATCCTATCTTTTTAAAATTACTTTATCAAGAATTAAATTAAATTACTCAAAACTTCATCAAAGTTTTGCAAAATAAGATTTGACAAGAAGATTTTATCTTATCAAATGATTAATAAAATTATGCAAACAAACATAAATCAAAAACTCATAATAATAATCGGAAAGTTTATTATTGAATGGGGGAATATAATGGGAAACACGCATGGGCCGTGGCAATGCATATAAAAGACATGAAACGAGTAAAGCACCAGACAAAGCTAGTTATGAATTGTGATGGCTGTTGGGTGTACATCTCCTTTTGTTCCCATATTTCTTTTATTTTACTTTGCTTTGCTTATAAGTTATTCCTATCCTCACATTTGAATCTTTTCGCTCCGTGTTATGATCCATGACTAACTTTATTTTTAATTTAATTTATTTAATTGTAAGTGTAAAACTTAAATTTATATATTAAAAAATTACATCAAAAAATCTACAAAATTAGAGGTGACATGACTATATTATTTT